CCAATTAGAATACCACCATAGAGCTGATATTAGCCTTGTATACAGTCGCATAAGCGAACTCAACTACTGAATTTTGTAATAAAAGTTAAAAAAAAAAAAGAAAAAGAAAGAAAGAAACAAGAAAAACCAGCTGCTAAACACAAAATATCATCAAAACCAACTGCAACAACTACAACCAGTGTCTACCGGTGTTACTCACCGTGTCGTTGTGCAGAGTGCTGCTCCTGGTCTGCGTCCTCTCCGGTGTCCTGGGACAATGTATAAGACATGCGCCGCCACTGATTGAGCTCTTTGTGAGATAGGTCCGTCAGTAATGGAGAAACGTCATTACGCACCCAGCCGGGAAGTGGGGGAAATAGTTTTCTCCTGACTGCAAAGGTATTTTTGAGCGTACACGCACTTATTATTATTACTTATAATCATATGGAAGAAAACCCTTCACAGAAAATCTATTACTCAAGGGACTTATTGCCAACTGTAGTGTGACTGTGTTAAGCTTAATAAACCTTGTTATACCCTGAAGTGAAATAAAAGATTGTGCGAAATCTCTAAATATATGTAAATATATAAATAATATAAATAATATGTATGTCAACATACTGCATGGTATAGCCTACAAATCAAACCTCGGACCTGTGTATCTCCAGTTTCAGCCTTGGTTTCACTGCCTGCCTTATGCTTCCCTGCATGGTGATGTAATCTCTCTCTCTCTCTGAAACACACACAGTCACACACATGCACATCTGTCTGTCATGAAGCTGTTGGGGGCATGGACAGAAAAGCATTGAGAGGATCTATTGTTTGATTGGAGTTTTTTGACAGTCTCTCAAACACCAGCTGCGATTTAGCATCAGCTGGATTTTAAATGAGACACACAGAAGGCCTGTATTAAAACAAACTCACATACAAATAAGAAGCTAATAAAAAACAGTATCAGTATGATGACACTGTATAATAGTATGATAAGTATAGGCTATATGATATCTTCTAATATTTCTGAAACGTCAAAAGCAGTTGTCTGGATGTTTGGGGTGACAGGTGCATCTTAAATGACGAACAAACTGTATTTTCTTACTGCATAAGCGTGAGTTAATGTGACATTTTGCTCTTTTTCTTCCATTCCAAAATTACTTCACTGTTGGGGTGAGTGAAAGTAGAATAAAGAAAGAAAGAAAGAAAGAAAGAAAGAAAGAAAGAAAGAAGCTGCACCGTCTTTCACACTGATACTTCATAGCAGAGAAATATGATTCACTACATCCCTCTAGTGGCTATTGTTGTTATATACTGACCATACATTCATAACGCATGCTGCTCATTGATTGGAAATATTAAGGATTGTAACTCTTTTTCCTTCTTTGTTTGCATTCGTCCTTCTGGTCTGTGGGTAATAAACAGGCTACAGTTTCTTTTTGAAAAATCTTCTTTAATCAACACCAACAGCGAGACAGTGAAAACACCCATCACTTTCTCTGGGTTCACAGCAGATCCCCCACTCTACTGTTGCACGTTACCTTAAGTAACACTCACTGTCCATCACAAAACAAGGGCTTAGGACGGAACTTAAATTACTCTCAGACAATAGGACATTACACATTTAAGTGTAGCTATTTACAAGACCCATATCAGATGTACTTTGTAGAATATTTTTTGTTTGTTTTTGTTTTGGTGCATAGCAGTTATGCAGACTGAACTTTTGCATGTTGCAAGTTTATTTATGTTAAGTGCATGAAAAAAAATTGTCAAAGTACCAAGAGTTCCTATGTGGCTCTCTTCAGCTGGCCACAAATGACTAATGCTGGAAAATAATGTATAAACTGGCATTGTCCCAGTAGCACAAAGGAAATAAATGCAATACATGAACCAGCAGCAAACAGCATCTTGAGATAAAGAAGAAAAAAGATTTTGTTAGCTGTCACACTAATGTGAAAGAAAATGAGAGAGGAACATGTGACACCCTGGACATTTTAGTTTTTATTATTATCCATATAATCATTATTGTATTAGTCTGTGTAAATGCTTTTATTAAAAACGATTTGTGTCACTTGTGAAACACAGAACTAATCCGTTCTCACCTGAAGTTGCTCTAGAGTTACCATTTTAACCAGTAGATGGCAGTAGCGACTTTTTTATGTTAGCAGCCATCCAGGAAGCTTGTGTTCAAGCTAAGTGTTAAAGTGATTAATCATGTCAACGGTCACACTGAAACCCAAATAACAACACTACTCCCCCATGTCGCTTCTTATCTGTTTAATTTGACATAATTTTAGAATTAAAATTATCATATTAATAAATAATAATATAAACATAAATAACCCATAGCGCTAAACATGGCTTATAAAACAAGCAAACAAGTGACCTTCAGTGAACTGTGTCAGGAGGTTTTTACTTTTCTCTGCTCATCCACTTGGCAGTTACAGCCCAAAACCAAATGTCTTTCCCTAATAACATGAGCATTCAACTTCAGCCTCACAGTGTTCAAATATGCTTTCTTACTTTCGTACTCTCACTTATTTCCTCTAATACTGAAATATTGGACAACAAATTTCAACAAGATTCAAAGCAGAGTTACATCAAAATAAAACATTCTGTCCCATTAGTATGAATCATCTTCTAGTGTAGACCTAAAACTACTATATATGGTATACCATACTGCTGCATGTTAAAAACATTTCATGAAGGGAAAGTAAAAGAATATTTTTTAGTGATAAAGAAAATAGTCAAAATATAGTCTTGTACAATAATGTTTATTGTTAATTGTGGGACTCTCAGACTGTCATTGTATTGTTTGATGTGGATTAGTCATACCTGACTTTAACCATCCTTTATTTGCCATTGCCTGAATTTATTTTTTTAACCATACTGTAGTTTCAATGCATGTGTGGGTATTGAAGAAATAAACAATTTGATAAATATTGGCATCGAATGTGCTAAAGTAATCCCTGAATGTAATCTGGGGTTTTGCTATCAGTAAAATATCAGTATAATCACTGAGTGCTCTTATCAGATTTCTGAAAATGTGCCAAACCGTGGATTCAGGATGTTTAATCAGCACACAAACTAACATGAGTGCTACTCGGACATTTCCTCACCATTGTTGCCCAATTATGTTTGTTTGTTGTATAAAACCAACAGATGCATCAAATGTTAAAACACAACTGATACAGACATTACACCAGATAATGGATCACAAATTTGAATCAAGTCAGGATGCCACATTGGCCTTTTAGAGCTTCTTTTGTACTTACAGTGATTGCCGCTGTATAGTGCAAGTCGGTCTTACTTGAAGGATTACAATAATTAGGAATAGGAATAATTAGTCTGTTAGGATGAAGAGGGGTTTCCATTCACTGACAGGAGGGATTTGTTGTAGGTCTAAAAATAGATTTATAAAAAAGATCAAAGTCTTCAGTAAACATCTTTGGTCACATGTGCATATAAATTTACTGTACCGCTCCTTTCTTTAATGGGATTTTGAAGCATACACTCACGCATATCACTGGCAACAACACTGTAGTATTGACAAGCAACATAAATAGTACAATTCATTTTTTCTATATGAATAGGAATGGATCAAGGGAACATTTGTCACAAAGCAGTGTCAAAATAATAAGACATATTAAAACGAACATTTAAAAAGTTTGTCGTTTTTTGAAAGATTTGACTGTGCCTCACTTTTTATTATACCACTGTCTCCCTGACAATGAAAAAGTGGAGAGGTTCATACAGCCTAAAGGAACAACTACCAAAAGATTAGAATTTATAATAATGTGTGTACACACACACACATATATATAAATTCGCTTTAAGTACATCCTTACAACCTGAAGTTATTACTCTGCTTTCCTACCCAAGAGTTGTTATCTTAATGTCTTTACTTTTCTTATTAGGACACAATCTGAACTAAAATCTTCTTTCTCTTGGTAATTTTTACGGTGGATACGATTGTTGTTTTTCATATACAGTGAAATTTTTACACACATTGTTTACTTTCAAACAAAAAGGCAGACGAGCATAACCTCTAACCACTGTAGGGGCAGTAACTCATTAGTAATAATAATATTACACTAATAATATTATTTTCCCCAGTAGTTAGTGGTGTAACTAATAATAATATGTTTCAGTTATAATATTACAGTTACAACATGCTACTTTTAATGGCACCCCATTGAGGAACCTAGATGGAAACATAATATATTCAGAGTCTGGAAATATTCCCATTACTTTGGTTTTAACAAACAAAATTTAATTCTGGGGAGAAGGGCCACAATTATCAGTTTTGTAGGGAGTAGCAGAAAAGTAATAGTAATAGTAATAAGTAGTATAACTAATTACTGTTGGCAGGGAGCAATAAGTAAAGCAATAATATTACTGTTAAGAAGAGTAATGAGTAATAAATTACATTTTCTGAGTAGCCCAGCACTGCCCCTAACTAAACTGGTCTAATTCCAGATCTAAATGTCCTCTCTTCAGCCTTCAGCAGACAATCCATGAAGTCGACCTAAAAGAACTCAGATATAAACATTTCAACTCAAAACTTTATATCACACTTTCATGGCCTTTAGCTTGAATTGCTAAACTGAGAATTCAGTCTGTCAAGCTTGGGCCTCAAGCTTCTGAAAATATGTTGTTACACTTGTCATTTTTGAGGGATCTAACAAAAATATGTGGCAACCCATGCTGCCCCTCAGGGCGTCCCTGTCCCTGCCAAAGTCTGATAAACACACTGCACACTGCATACCACAACCAGGTCCTATTGTTTCATTTGCTATACCAACCTTTCTTCTGCACTCCGTTTATCTAAACAACAGAGTGGCTTAACTTTTTTTTTTGCTGTACAGGATGAGTCAATAAGCTTAGAAACAGATCATTTCAGTTGTCCAAATTCAAAACAAGTCTAGGCCTGTAGAGAAGAGTGTGGTGTTCTCTGAGGTCCGAAATTACAATAAATAACACAGCTTCAGTGACAAAGAGATAATTATTGTCCAGCAAAGTCCAGCTGGTCAAGAGAGTCGCTCCACTGCCTCGAAGACTTCTGTTGAGAAGTTTAGGCTGACAAAAACATTGTTCTCAATCGACTCAATGCTATCCTGTAAGCATACACTGTCGTGGTTGATGAGGCTACTTTCAGACGTGGGACTGATGACAATTATGCGTGGAACACCCTGAGGTGGCCTGGGATCACTGGATGTGATTTTTCCAAAATTCAGTGAATCAAAAGAGTCGCTCCTGTGGCTGCCCAGCCGGTCACAGATGCTGCCTTTCTCCTCCCCTGCATCTGAACTCTCATTTGTCAGACTCTGGCTGCGTCTCCTGGTAAGAACTAGCAGGGGGAGACTGGCGATGGTGAGAGAACTGGAAACCAGTTCATGCTCACAGTTGCTCGATGAATCATTCATGGTAGATGAATGCTGGCAATGTAAATGAAACACAAATACACAAGAACAAAATGATATGCAAAACATGAAAACATTCAATCAAATAAAATTAGCATTAGCCAAACACCTCTGAGCACCCATGGAAAATAATATCAGTTTTATCAATAATGAGTTCATACTTTTTTACGTTGTGTTTTCTCACCTTCCCTGCTGCGTAGGTCTTGGTGGTCTTCCGCACTAACTGTTTCTTGTAAGACTTATGTCTGCAAGACTGACTGTACAACGACATGCCTCTGAAGGAATCACCTGACTTCCTTCCCAAAGGCTCCATCTCCACATCCCTTAATACCTGCAGGACAGAACAGAACAAATGTGAGCTAAACTGAACTACACTAAAAGGAAATAATTCAAGGTTAACTTACCTCAGACCAGAGTGTAATTTAACTTCCTTTGATTGATTCACTAAACTAAAAAACTTGGAACAACTTTAATTTCCACAGATGCATAAGATGATGTTCACACACACATTATCTTACGAAGAAGAAAATATTAAAATTATTTTCCCTGAGCATCAAGGTTTCAGTTGCAGCCGAAATAATCTCATGAATGCTAAATAAGTGTAAGTAAGAGAAGATTATGTGCTATATCTTGGATTGAATTTAGCTTTAAAGGACCAGTGTGTAGTGTACAGGACTTGATCTGGAATTACCCAAAAGCATATTATCCACTTACTGTACACATCATGGTCTTAAAGGACCAGTGTGTCGGATTTAGTGCCATCTAGCGGTGAAGTTGCAGATTGCATGCAGACAAGGAGAAACTAAGGTGGCGCGAAAAAGACCCCATCTAGACCCAGTGTTTCGTTTGTCCATTCTGGGCTACTATAGAAAGATGGCGGTTCAACATTGCCAACTTTTTTCTTAAAAATCTCTTTTTTTTATCACATATTATGTTAATGCATACAGCCATTGCAATATCCTAGTCCTGTCCCAAGCACATTTCTGGAGGAACAATGTGTAAGGTATGCATATTGATGGTTCATTTCACTTTCAAGTCAACCATTTCAACTGATTGCAAACATAAAAATAAAAAATGAATACATGGGAATACATGTTACAAAATATTGTATTGTATTGTAAAATGTATATATTAATTTATATTAATCTCTATGGAAGACACCCCATAGCGTATGTAGATATATAAATGCCTTACTCAAGGTAACAAAAACATAACAATCCTATATTCAGGTGATTATACATTAATGAAAACAGAGTTATGCATATTATATTACATATTACATTATTCTCATAGTTTCTTTGAATCAGCCAATACGAGTCAACTTATAGAGCAAAAAGAAAGAACAGCTAGAAATTACCGTGTCAGTGGAAGTTGTAATAAAGTGAGTCCTTGATGCTGTGGACTGTCTGCTAATGATGGAGTCCCTGTAAGAGGACTCACTGATGGAGGAGGAGGAGATGCATTCTTTCCGAGAAGTGGGAGTCAGAAACCTCAGGCAGGGAACCTTCTCTGCCAGAGTCTTCCTAATGAAGTATACAACAAGTTGGATATGATGATATAATACAAGATGATAGACAGTGAAGGTAAAACAAAAATACATTTTCATTGATTTTAATAATTTACCTGTATTTGTTGTGTATAATAGCATAGATAAAAGGATTGTAAATGGCGGAGGCTTTTGCTATTACTGCAGGGACAGCCTTGGAGTATGGCGTCAGGATGTCGGCGTGCCTGAAAAAGACAGAACGACAGAATAGTATTTTTTTGTTTTAGTGTGACAACACATATCAACGTCATCTTTTTTTTATATTTTGTAATATAATGAAGGGGTGTATTGGGTAAGGGATTAGTCAGAATGTGCCAGCTGCCACAGATGGGTGATAAAGTCCATCTGATCGTGTGTTTGTGTGTGTGTGTGTGTGTGTGTGTGTGCAAGGCTACCTTTCCCCCTGTAAATGAGCAGGGGAAAAGATTTCAAAGTTACATAACAACATCCCCCTCCTACTGTATGTCCCAGTAGAGACATGTGGTTTAGTTAATGTTGTGATACGTTGGATAAGCAAAGGGCATATGAGCAACTTAACCGTCTGTTCTATGTCACTCATCCAGGGTACTTGGCCTCTAGCTGACCCAAAATTATATAACACATTTAACACCATTTGGGGGAGATTTTGATCCAAATTGCCAGAACAACCACCCTAACAGTATAACTGCCATGTTACTTTATACCTGCTGAATCTGGATTTCCTCAGTGAATTATTTCATGTATCTAGATACATTTTTAAAGAAGCAGGAAGATAGAAATATGATTAAATTTAGCCCTGAGGTATAGTACAATGTGATGCAACTGAATACAAAGAGGCAAGAATATCTAGATATATTTATGTTGCAGTTAAGTTTGTGAATGTTTGCATCAAGAAAACCCCAAAGTTAATAGAAAGACAGATAAGAAAGAATGTTAATATTATTTTTGGAATCTTATTTGTTTGTCTTGAAAATCAATCTTCTCACTATGTGTCTTACAGTGTTCCCTGTACATATACAGAGCACGCACTGGTTACATTGTCCATAACTTAATTTTAACAATACAGGGTCACTATATGTATTCAAAAGTAGCTGGTTAAAGTCTCGAGAGCACTGTTAGCAGGGGTGCTACTGTAGACAGAACATGTATAAGATAAACTTATACTAAAAGCCTTAGAACATCTATCTATGAAATAACCTTACCCGGCCCAGGAAATCATTGTGACACAGGCATATGGTGACCAGGAGAGGACATAAACCACAATGACGACAAAGGCAATTTTAGCCAATTTCCACTCGCTCCTGATGGACTTCTGTTGGATCAGGGTGGATTTCCTCACCTGAGTCCCCAGACGTTCCACTTCCCTGCAAGTGGAGCAGTACAGAGGGAGCAGTTAAAGAGAAACCTAGTCCCTGAAACAAATTCAGGTTATTCATGTTATACTGGACAGTTAAAGTAATGTTTTGTTTTAATTAAACCAATATCTGCCAAATAAAAAATGATTTAAGGCTTTTTGTATCTTAAAATTCCATTTATATTCAATTTCTGCAATTTTCTGCCAATAGAGCCCCCTAAATCTTACAAACAACCTTTATTGTACTTCTTATACCATTCTTACAGTGGTGACAGTAGTTGGGGGTTTGTATGGCTATAGGCGTGTGTGTGTGTGTGTGTGTGTGTGTGTGTGTGTGTATGCGTGTGTACATGAACTGTACAAATGTATTTCTTCATGAGAACAATTGCTTTTGTCTGAAAAAGTTCGTCCCTAGGCAGGCATGTAGGGATGTATTACTCAGTGTTATTCGACACAGTTTGTTCCAGCTACTTACAGTACATACCATACATACAAAAAATTTTGGGGTAAAAACAATAACTATATAGTAGTGCTGCCCCCTAATGGTCGACTAAACAGTCTTAGTCTGCACACTTTTCATTAGTTGGATTGTTACAGAAAAACAAAACCAGCATGCTACATCACTGGGACAAGAGTATCAGGGAATCGTTGCAACACAAATACTTAGCAGTTCCATTATCTCACTTTACCCGTACTGGGAACTCGAAGGAAAGGGGAGAGGTTTGTTTACACTACTAGCGTAAGAGCAAAGGGGACCCAGCAGGGAATACTGTCAGGGACCAGGGCCAGAATTAGTAACAGAACTGGAGCCAGGCGAGCACAACAGAGAACTGGGCTCACAGCCTGCAAGATTAACGTGCCAGCAGATTTACTGTGGCTCCGACCAGGACTCTGACTCCAGAAATAACAAAGACATGGTGGGTTCAGGCAGGAACTGGAGATGCATGATATAAGAGAGGAACAAGTTTGTAGCTAGTTAATTTGTAGGTAACTGTGGAAGTTATATGCGCGTTTTTGTTTTTGTGAAGTTGGAATTTTTTCCCTGTTTGGAACAATGAGACTTGTGTGATGTTATGCTGTGTTCAAATAAATTAACTAAATATTCCATCCTTGCTGGTTGTTCTGACGTATTCAGAATCATTACCACTTTCTCCATTCGCATTTATTAGGAGTTTAGGCGTTTATTGGCGTCAGCCCTACAACATAAGGACAGTCTACTGCTGTGAGGAAATACAGTAACAAAATAAAAGTGGAGCAAGACAACAAAGAACCAAATCATACAAAATGAATTTCTGGTGCAGTGGTATTTTTAAATTCTTTGCATGTATCTCCGCCTACACAAGCATAAAATAAGTTCAAAGTACAGTACCTGCTTGTCTTCCGTATAGCCAGAAACATGAAGAGATAGCAGTAAAAGATGATTCCTAGTGGAATGAAGAAAACAAAACAGCACAGCATCATCGTGTAGCTCCTATTGGCCAGTGTGTATGTGACATAATCCCATGTACAAGATGTCATCAGGCCCTCCGGGATATAAGAGCCTAGAAGGAGAAAAGATCAAACGTTAGATCATTTTTTAGATCACAGGAAGTAAGATATCAGGTAAAACATCAATGGTTCTGCATACTGTTTTACATAAAACTGTACTTGTTTTGATGTAAAGTCTGTGGAGCAGTAGATTAAGATCACAGATCAACAGCATAACAGCAGGTGGATAACTGGCCTGAAGTTATATTCCCTGCAGCAGTTTTTCTACACCCGGTAACCAAAAACAGATCATTTCTGCTCTACTCTACATGGCATGTACAGTAGGCTAGAAAATCATCAAGAGTTCCACGGCAAGTGAAGAAGGTAATAAGAAAAAGACATCCAGGTAGAGGAAACTCACTCCAGCCAATTAGTGGAGCCAGACTCCAAGCCAAAGAGTAAAGCCAGACTATGAGGATGGCCAGAGTGGTCCTACGTTTGGAGTTCCAGTGTATGGCCTGCAGAGGCTTGGTGATAACCAGGTAGCGGTCGATAGAGATAGCCAGGAGGTTTATCATGGAGGTGATGCCAAACAGGGCGCCGCAGAATGCATACATCTTACAGCCTACATGGAAGGAGCACATACAGACATATAAATAACTGAACAGCAGCAGCAACAGAATTGCATCTAATTTGTTTTTTATTCAAATGTATAGGCTCTGTCTTTATGTGTATTGTATAAAAAAAACAAAGAGGAGAATTACCCATCTCTCCAAACACCCATTCCTTGTATAGACAGTTGATGAAAAAGATGGGGGACTGTGTGAAAGCCATGAGGAAGTCACTGACTGCCAGGTTCATGATGAAGTAGTTTGGCAGGTTACGAAGCTTCTTGTTACTACACACACACACAGACAGACAAGGAAGAGAATGACAGCAGGTATAGCATCCTCAATTCTTCTTCAATAATAGCAGCAAGAAGAAACCAGCTGAGGCACAGGACCGTGACAGACAGGGTGAGGTGGAACAGACAGACAGATTGAGAAAGAGGAGCCCCCCCCCAAAGAACAGACAGACTCAGAGATTGAGAAAGAGGAGGCCACATATGGCTTCTCGAGTGTTGTTATCTTCTCTGATAATTTCTACTAGTTTCTTCTGTCTATGTTAGGGTTAGCTTGGGACATTTCTACTTCTTTGTACTTTTTTTCATTTTTTTTGTCATTTTTAATTGACACTCTTTTATGTTCATATAATAGTGATTCTGAGCCACCCCAAAATGACCACTGGTCGCAGCCCGGCTCCACTGCTGACTAGAAGGAATATTGCATCTGCTGTTTAATACGTTTTATAATTCAAGAAATACCTAATATGATAGTAATCTTACTTAGGGGAAGAGATAGTTTACTTGTATGTCTCAGTTCATTGCATCTTGTTTTAATGCATAACTCAATATACAGTATCGTTAAATTGTCAGCATTAATCACATATGAGGTCTTTCCTGAACTGGTCAACTCAGTGTGAACCTGCATATTCATACCAGCTTGGTTAAGCAGGGTATTGACCTGCAGTCTGCCTCCAGAGCTCTTTATTGATTAATCTCTGTTCTATATCTCCTGAATTCAAAGTAGCTACGACCTGATTTAACACCAAACTATTTCTTATGCCTAATACATTGCGCTTATACATTTGCATCTGCTTTTAAAAGACAAATGTGTGCATGTGTATGCATATTACAACAGCATTTACTGTCAATTTCTAGATAATCATCATATCAGCTGACATCTCACTTAAAACACAATCAACCCTCTCTCTCTCTCTCTCTCTCTCTCTCTCTCTCTCTGTGTGTGTGTGTGTGTGTGTGTGTGTGTGTGTGTTTGTTTGAGTGTGAATGACTTTTCTTGGAACCGATAACATCATGTGCATTTCTGATTCAGTAAACACAAATTATCAGCACAACACAATGGAGAACCCATCTAATCTATTAACAATGATGGACAGATGAAATAGAAAAGCTCCTGACAATCCCCATAACACATATACACACACAACCACACACACTTTCTGTCACTGACCCAGTTTCTGTGTAACACCAATAGCACAATAAGAGGTCAGTGGTAGACCAAATTTCACAACACATAACACACATACTCCTTCCTTGACTTAACAAAGAAAGTTTACAATTTAGGAGTCACTCATATCATAGTACTTTTTACAATAGTAAAAAAGATTGTCCTTTATTTTTGATATTACTTGTTGCATGTGATGCTAAATAGACGGTACTTTTGATTTATAGTGAAATGCATAATACCTTTATGCAGCTATCAGTCACAACTGTTTGTTTCAGTTGTTTATACATAAATAATTTATGTTTAGCATATAAATAGTTGCTGTTTTGGCAAACTGTTTGTCCTGAAAAACTCAAACTACAGAGTACTTTAATGGACACATCTGACCAAATCTAAAAATAAACCAGGTAAACCAATATAAAGGCAAATTTTCACACCTCATACAAAGAAGAACATTTAGATAAAAGCACAAATAGTAGTCATAACATAGTCATATATTTTAAATACTCTGTGGCAATTAAAATCCTAAAAAATACTAAAAAGTAAAAATATTAACATCAAAATGTATTTAAAGTGCTAAAGTACTAAAGTATTATGCACTATGACCCATTTCAGAATAAAATATATTATATATATTATATCATTGAATCATAAATTATTGCTTTAATATGTTAATAATTTTGAATGCTGCAGCTTCCTCTTATTTTCTGTATTCTGCTGGGTAGGGATCAATAAAGTCTGACATTAGCCAAAACTAATACATCATATTTGTTTTGTTATTATATTTCCAATGATTAATTAATTATTATGAATTATTATTAATCTGCAGTGGAGTAAAAAATACAATATTTGCATGTGAAATGTGATGGAGTAGAAATAGTAGCATAAAATGGTAATACTCACAAAACCTAAAGTAAATAAAAATTATACTTAAATGCAGTACTTGAGCAAATGTACTTAAAGTAAGTTAGTTAAGTTACTTTCCACCACCGCAAATAACACCTGCTATACATTAGTATATTTGTACCAAAAAAGCTGGGGAAGTTTACATAATGTTCAAAATGGAAACTTTTGAAATTTCCACGCATCTAAGAAGATCTTTTAGGATACTAAGAGGCAAAGATTATTTTATCTGTAATCGCCAGCTTTTTGGAATCCCCCACTGATCCTCTAGATAGTAAAGAACATCACAAATACTGACCCTTATTCTGCAGTAAATTTAAGACAGCAAAGACCTCTCAACTTTAACTGAGAGGCTTCCTACCTCCTGAATTAGAAATATACATTTATTTCTAACAACAAGGGTTAGGGTTAGACACACATATAGCATTTTGGTATATATAATGTGTTATGACTCAGTCTTTTTGTCTGTCTCTCTCTAAAATCATATAATCTCTGAGTGATTATAACATCTCCCTAGGTTTCTGAATTAAAAATGGAAATGGCTAATGCAGCAATAAAAAACTAAAGAACCGATACAAACAATGACTTAAAGTACAAATCTGAAAACAAAAACCTACCTATAGAAGGCAAACAAAACCAGTGCATTGCCAGTGATGCCCAGTGCCCCGATGACAAAGACGAAAAAGGCGACAATGTAGTGAGCATGGTCAGGCACATCCACCTTACTGAAGAAGCTGCTCTGGGTGTGTGCTTTCTCTGGCTCCATGCTCTCAGTGGACCACATGGTTCAAACACCTCATCAGGACTGCCAACTTTGCAGGATGCAGTAGGTTTACCAATTTGTAATCCACTTTGTTTCGATGGTGTCGGGCCTTCATAGTAGTATCATTTATACAAAGGATGCAAGGGAGATTATGCAGTATCTTCTTTAGATTGCACTACATTAAAGTCTAAAGTGATTACAGTTCATTTTATTTCTCAAGAGAAGTCCTTCCCATCATAAACCATCCATTCAGTTCTAAGTAATAAATATGAAGGACTAGATGATCTCCACTTTGTGAAGATGTTAAAATGTCAAATCCAATTAAGTCCATATACTATTTACTTCTGAAGAAAAAGCTGGAAAAATTCAACGGGTATAAAATGGCAAATGTTACCAAGTTGTTAATGTTACATTATTCAGAAAATATCTGCAATACAATGTAGTACATGAAAAAACAGTTCCTCTTTTACTTCTTAGTCCAGTAGTGTTAGATGCTAGATGAGGTCCACAGCCGTTCACAGATGTACATCAGAAGCATCCATTCTGCTATTCCCCTCTGGTCTGTAGTTAAAACACTTCAGTCTTCCACCTGTGGTCCCCACATGTTTCCAGTTTGATACCTGGGTTATAGAGTTTATGACATTCTCCAGTATATTAAATCCCACACTGTCGCTGTCCGTCCACTCAGTGTTCGCCTGCAGCTTCTTCACCCGTCACACCAGCTGTGCACCAAGCTCTGAATCAGTGGCCTGTCTCTGATTATATTTCCAACTAGCGACTCCTAACCTCTCATCTCTCTCTCCATGTGTCTCTCTCTCACTACCCCTTGTTGCTCTGTGTTGCTCTCTCAACCCTGCCCCCCTTGTCATTCTCTCTCTCTCATTCTCTCTCTCTCTCTCTCTCTCCTCAAACACACTGCCTTCCTCGCCTCTCCCTCTCTCCCACCCCTACCCTTCATGTAACATGGCCCTGAGCTCTACTACCAGATTCTTACATAACAGACATGTTCACTAACACTACCAGTATTAACAGCAATTTTAAATCAAACATTCATTCATCTTTCATGTCAATTGATTTTGCCAGTCTGCAACTCATTACATCAGTATGTGAAATGTCTTGCATGCACAAGCACTCAGGCATGTAGCACAAGGACACAAGACTATTTAAGATCACTCATGAAGCCAGGAAACTAATTGGTGTTCCCATTCACAACTTTTACGGCTGCAGAAGGGCCAGCTTAAGGAAATCCTTGTTCTCTACAGAAGCAAGGTACAGAAGCACTAAAAAAGTTAACTCAAATCATGACAATCTGGTTTGTTCTCTCCATGTGTATTTTTTTGTAATAATTCTATAATATCATGACCACGCAGTGTCCTAGTTTGAAATATATGCAACGATAATAGAAAATAAGGAATCTGTGAGGACTAGTAAAACAGTTTACACTGTAACAACTGAGATCTGTGAAACCTCAAGTTATAGTAAATAATGAAAATTGACATTACTTGGTTAAATGATGCACAATGTGTGTCTGAGAAAGCTTACATATTGTCTACAATAAGAACACTGATTACTGGTGATAATATTTTTATTAGGATTCATTTTCTGAAAGCAAACAGAGATGAGAAAAAGAACTGCCTTGTTCTGAATGATATATACTCATGACTGCTGGCAGGACATGGATCAGAAGCATGCCACATATGCTGGTCATTCCTTTTTATGGTGCTGGACATGTTGGAAAAAGAAGATGAAGGGAATAGAGGGAGGTGAAGAATGCAGAGCTTAGACAGAGATGTCAACTAAGCCCCTACAGCAAGGGATAGCCTTAATCTGCACACTGTGCATGCATGTGGATCAGTGTTTGATCTGGAATAAGAATTTATATGAAAATCTACATGTAAGTGTGTGTGTGTGTGTGCCTGCCTGCATGGATGTATGTCCATGTGTGCCTGCCTGTGTATTTGTGTATACAGCACAAATGGGCAGATGTTTTCAAGGATTACGGTTACAGGGGTCTGCCGCCCTTGATGACCTAATCACGGTACTTGTGTTTATGTTTACAAGTCAGCACAGCAGGGAAATATACAACAGGACATCTATTGCTGCATTTATTTTGAATGTAATTCCCCATTTCCGACCTTAGCAATTATACTGTATATTGTGATCTGCTTTAGTTAAAACAAAACACTGCACAATACAAAAGTGGAAATGTACATTTTGACGAGGGATTTAGGCTTTTAAAAAGCATGTTTAAACACACGAATTAGCTCAAATCTGATGCTGATTTGCTTAACACCGACTGTGACTACAGGGCCACTTTTCGTGTTAATACAGTCTGGGCAAGAAGCTTGAGTTAGAGAGGGATTAGAGAAAGATGAAAGAGGCAAGTCATCCTCTTCAAACAGCTCTTATGTATACGATGACAGCTCATAGATGTAAGCAGGTAGTGGTGAAAATGTATATGTATATATGTATATGTATTTTAAATGTATATTAAAATATGAAATTAAATTAAATTGCTGGTATTGTAGCACACTATGCAATTAATCAAAAGCAGGCAGATGCTACGTTGTAAAATGTATATCATATCTGCATAATAGCACAAGTCAAATTTTACTGGCAAAGTATATTCATAATACACTTGAGGGTGCTTTACATAAACTAATTAAAACATACAACTGTACATACTGCATGTCATAAAAAATGTACATTGCAGAGAACATATTTAGAAAGGGTTCATGAATGAATTAGAAATGTTGTTTGTTATTTCGAATTTAACTATATTTCATGAGCAGGAGCTCTAGCAAACTATCTAAAAAAAGAAAAAAATTGCCTTTTTTATGTGATGTTTAAAGTACCAACTATTTGTTTCATTCCACACCATCTGGACAGATGACCTTGTCTTGATGGAAACTCAAATCACTGGTGTGGAATTCATAGAGGATGACCTGGACATTGGAGGTCAGTATTCCGCATGTCAATGAGTCAATTACTATTGAACCAGTTGGTAGCACTGGTGCTTAAGTCCTGGGCTTGAATCCTATGTTGAAAGATATAGCTGGCCTTTCACCCACAGTGGAAAGAGTCTAATTATTATTGAGTGGCGCTGGCCATGTGACCAGGGCTGCGTCCTCAGGCACATGTGTCAGTTGGAGATCAATAGGCCTACTTTACTACAGTTTATATGGGCAAATAATTTTTAGAAACTGTGCAGAGTTGCATCAACATTAAAAAAATACGCCAAAGGAGGATGATTGTCAGGTGTATGTTGCCCTGAACTGGCATCTTTAGCGATGATGACTGACTAAGCTGCTTAAGACATGGATACCTTAAAAGACCTTGACCATCTGAGAGCTTTGGAAAAGAAGACTGTGGGAGGCATGTGCATAATTGTTTTAGAATTTAGTTCCAAAAACAATCATATTATAGAAGAAATAGATAATCTAGTTTATGTTTGAGCCACAACAATATATGACTTTCAGCACAAATAATGTTCTCTCATCAGTGAATGAATATAAACTATAAATAGGTATTTTAGCAACTATTAAGCAGAAATAACGAGTATAAATTATGAATTGTGTTAGCCTAACATCAAAATGTGGTTTTTATATGTCTTGAATGAATAAGTGAATAGTTGAGTAACATTTGCAAACTTTACATCATGGGAAGACCTACCTCTTCTCTGCCTCTGATTGGGCCTGACCATGACCTAAGTAACCAGCCATTAGAGGCAGCGTAGAGCTAATCTTTGCAAAATGTGGGTGGGGGAAAACAAATCACGTTTGAAACATGTTGATTTAACATAGGCCTATGACTATGACTTGAAGACATCAATCCTTTATGAATCTCTCCTTTAACTTCCTTCACAGTAGGATATGCTTGGACTTCCCATGAGATTTTAATTATATCTGCTTTTGAGACATCCAGCATACAAATAAACAAAACAGACTATCTAGCGGTGAAGTTGCAGTTTGCTACCAACTGAAACCCGTCGTCTCAACATGTGTAGAAATTACAGTGGTCCTTGTTTGAGCCAGTGTTTGGCTTGTCTCTTAAAAATGGCTCATTCTGAGATTCTTATTCCAAGGTGAATCTACACTAATTAAAACATACCTATGAATGTTATATCTTATTTCTGTCAAAAGGTCCTTCTAGAAGTTACACCCTGGACCTTTGAAGAAAGAGTAGTAACCTACTGTCTCTTGCTGTATTTACTGTAAATAAATGCAAATGTAAACAACAACTGGGAAATAGTACACAAGAGAAACTTTCTACTGACACCATGACAAGTTTACTTCCTGCAGAGTCAATGAACTTGTTTGACTAAGGATGACTGTGTCACATGAATCTGCATTTTAATGACAAAAACAGATTTTCATTGTAGGGTGCAAACACAATTATTTTAAAAACCACTCATGTTGTATCACCACAAATATGTTGTGCATGCATTTGTTTAATCAACAGCCTTATTAACATAAGTGGTTATGCTGGTGTTCATTTGTTTTGGATATTGCATTGGAGGGGTTGAAAGAATTGCTCAAAGCAAACATTTTTACACTATTTATGTATTCCTATCGTGGCAAGGCTGTTCCATAATTACTGTTTCTGTGCTCAAGATTATTCTATTTTAGACGGAGGTATCAATAGATTAACTTGAAAGGGCCTCTGCTTTCACAACACGCTGCTCAACGTGTGGTTTTGTGCTGTGTATGGATTGTGGGTGCTTTCTTCCTAAAATGATGTACAGTTTGACAACCTAAAGTGGTTGTAAATAGTATTTACCGGTAGTAAAAGTAGACAGACCTTTTTGTCCCTATTCCTCTGGTCTCAGGCGCAGATGTTTTGAAGTGCAGCAGCACGAGTGGAGCATGTGGGATTCAGGCAGGAAATTATGAATATGGTATAGAGGTCACATATAATGTATGTCTTAAGCCTCTTTAGTGTCTGCATGGGTTTCTGTTAACCAGCATACTGAATCTAGGTTATAGATCAAACCATGTGTAAAAACCAGGTCATAACATGCTCTTTAATAAGTGGAATGAATATTTCAGTCAATAACAAACTACCACAGTAGGACTATCTCTATATCTGTCCCTCTTTTTCATTCTCTGTCTAAAATGAATGGAGTACAATTAATTTGATGTGGGTTTTTTTATTATGAGAAGTGATGGATTAACTTGAGCATCAGAGAAACATAAATACAACGCATACAGATACATACAATATGTGAGGAGAATCAAAGTCAGTGACAGCTAGAAAACAATCCATTAACTAAAAACAACATAAAGAGCAATGGTGTTCACAACAACGCACATATTGTAATACAATATAGATTCTGTGTGTGGATTATGTACAGTAAGGGAATATAAGTTTATCCTGCCTATTGTTAAAAATTATTATTATCCTGTAGTTTTTAAATATCATAAAAGCCAGAATGACTAACCCTGTCTCTTTGGACTCAAACCTTTCTCTTAGAAACTTTTAATGTACTTTGTTGAAATGTTTTAAATGGCAGCTCAGGTCTGTAAAGGTGGCCCAGTTCTTCTCTTTGCAGAAGTCCACGTGTTTTGTGACATATTAAATAAGACAGAACACACACCATAAAAGCTATGGACAAGACTGCATGAGGCATTAAGTACATTTATAATTCACGTCTGTGATGGTGTAAGGGTAAGTTTATTCTTAAGAGGGACAGAGCTAATTATATCTACAGTATGATATGAAACATAGGAACCAAATTAATGTTTATGTGCACAGAAGTTTTCAGGCTCAATGTTTAGAGCAAAATCTAAGAAAAAATCAATCACTGAAGAGCATTGGCATAATACACAATCTCATAGGTCTGCAAAATCTATAATTGAAGTCAAAAACATTTTGGGAATTTTTAATACACAGCATCAGTCCACAGCCCAACAGATTGAAGGAAATATTTTCTTTTCACAGTGCACACACACTACAGCACCTGTAACATCAGAAAACATATCCCCAGGACAAGCAAAGGTTTTTTTCCAGCCATCCGAGCACTTGCACCTGCAGCCAGACTGACACCTGGTGACTCTGAGAAGCAGAAGATTAGGATATAGCATCAAAAATATTTCTCTCTTTAAATTTATTTGTAATTTGTCACCCTGCTGCACTTACCTGTGGTCAGAGTGATGGACCTCACATTAACCCAGTAGACTGTGCGCTGCTGAGCTACTGTGGCCCTGAAAAAAAAAACACATACTCATTGTAGAGATGTTCCAGAGAAGAAGATCCAGTTTGCTAAGAAATGCATCTCCTCTCCTCTTTGGGGCCGAATTGGATTAAGTGCTTGCTTTCTATAATACAGTATATATTGAGTTACACTGAATGAACTTTGCAGAGATCGGAAAAATAAAAAAGTCTTAATCCCTTCCTTGCACTTTAACAACTCTTAGTAACTCAAACGGAAAATGCTTGTGATTCACCTGAAGAAACTTTGTGTCTGGAGGAGGGATTTTCCAGCTCCCCAGAGCATTAGTGCTGCCGTCTGTCCGAGCTTCAAGAAGCACACCTCTATATTCTGGTCCAGTGACAGTCACTGCAGGAAGGAATGAAGGACATTCAGAGGCATACACATAAGAATCCAAGAATCCCCCCCCAGAATAAGATATTTAAACTAAGGAATACTGTCAATAGCAACCATGAATCAAATGAAAGGTAATGACTGATGATAAAATAATCACATACCTGTAATAGGTTTGCCTGGCTGAAACGTCCTGGTGTTGGTGAGAAGAGTGTAGGGTGCTGCTGAGGGCTGAGGCAGCACCCCAGAGTGGCGAGGCATCATATCCTCACAGGCACCAGTGGGAGCACCATTGGGATAGCCACCAACAAAACAGAGCGCTTGAAGCATAACGAAACCGGACAACAACAGCTCCATCAGGCTGAATGAAAACCACCACGCTGCATGCAAAAATATCCAAATAGTCGTATATGATGAGAATGAAATGCACAGAAGTGAGCCAAGAGACAGACTTTTGAAAAATACTGTTGCTGAGTCACACAACCAAAAAAAATTTATTTTTTCCAGCAATCATTTTTCCAACCATGACATGTGCTTTTCACAAAAATGCTCTCATGATACCTAGAAAAGAGTTCAAGTGATATTTACGCATTTCAAGGCGGAAAACAAGGGTCAGTTTTAATTTGCCTACCTAATGCTTAAAAACCATCAATCAGGAAGTTAGAGAAGTTATGAAAATCACATGGTAAACATGTGCACTTTAATAATACAATATAGTCTAAAATCACTTTGTATGCCATTAAGCCACAGTCCAAGAAAGAAAAAGTCACTTAATCAAAATAATACTAATATTTTTGTCAGAGATTATTCTTGACATAGGTTTGTCACTGGAAAACATTTTGACTTGGAAGTTGAAATAATGTAACTTTAAAAGACAATCACCTGATTTGTGTAACTCAAAACTTTGGGCTAAATTGAAAAATGAGAACTGTGGATTTTGACCCCCGTCTCTTTTATTAGAGGCATGTAATGATGGGATATTTTCATGTATGAACAGGAGGAATGATTAACAGCCAGCAAAAACTGACTCTTGTTTACAGATTTAATTTCGAACCTATACTTAAATCAAAGAAAAAATATCAAGACCTAAGTTCTGCTTTTATATTCTACAGACCTAGTAGACCTCGTAAGCACCATTTCACATCACAACATTATGTCAGTTTTATTATTGATAAGCAGATCTATGGGTAAAGCAATCGAACCACTCTACATTTAGACACATTTAGCTTTTTGCTCCATGCATGTGTACGCATGAACAGGGGTTCAGAGAAATGTTTGCACCATGTGTTGATGTTCTAATCTCCAATTTATTTTAAGCCCTAGAGTCCTTTTGTTGCCAGCTGGATCAAACTCATATTGAAACGTTTACATCAATGTTAAACCCCCTCAAAAGAGGGTTTTTTTCAGTGATGCACAATGACAATATACTGATGTATTTAAAAAGCCTATTTTAAAATTCTGTATTTTGTAGGTTGAGTAGGTTTTGATTTCCTCATTAAAGATGCAGCATGGTCATTTAGTGTTAGAATTTTGCTCAGGACCAGAGTATTTTAAATCTGACCCAACCTGGAAAAATCAGTCTCTGGTCAGCCGTGCGTTCGTGGTCGCCACACGCCAGTAAAAACACCTTATAGTGTGCTGTGAATGTGAGCAATAAGTCTTTTAAATATCCAAATCAGTGCAGTGAAGCCTGGATTATAATATTACTGTAGGTGCACTACACATGTCTGGGAAGTGAAGGATTTCAGCCGGCTCCACATTCTCTATTCACTGTCAGCAAACAATACTTGCACCAGAAACAGGCAGGAGGCAGTGTACTAAATGACCTGAGAAGACCCTGTGAAGTAAAGTCAATGAAGTAAAGTAAACTGGTTTTAGTCATAATAAAAATAAAAATAAAAAATAAATTGAAAAAAGTTTTGCTGAATGATTTATTTTCGTTTGTGTTTTGAGAGTAGTCTGTGTAAGAGACACACATAAGCTATGGCGTATCTTAAAATTTTAGATGACAATATATCTCCTCTGCCAAGTCCTGTTCATTCACTTTCCGAGCATGAATAATGGCATGCAAAATCTTATTTTGGTGTCTCTGAGTCTCTGATTTAGTACTTATCAGAATAGGTTTTCAGAGAAATCCCTATGTTAATGCACATGTGTAATCTTTGTGCTTAAAGGATTAGTGTCTCATTTGCAAGAGTATTTCTAGTAGGCCATAACGAGAGTTGATTGTGTCTCTGTGTGTCCTTAAAACTTGTTTAATCTTTTGTTTCTAAAAGATTATTATTCTAAAAGAATAAAGCTGTATAAAAAGAACCGAAACTCTCATTGAGAACATTTAAATGTTAATACTTTGGAAAAAAATAATAAAGTACTTATGGTTAATATCACAGAACAGACACAGAAGGTCTTTCTCTTAGTCCAGCATTTCACACTTTCTCTCTGGTGTCTGTAGAATAAATGTATTATTTATTTTACGTATTATAAAAGAACAACTCGTGTGATCTTGACACTAAGAGGAAGAAGCCAAATGTGCTTTTAATCTAAACAGAGCCAAGCACCATGAAATGAGATGTTCTTCCTGGGCAGACGGACTGTACTCTTTTATCATTTACGAAGGGATGTATGATTTTAAAAACTTTTAAAAAGCATTATTATGGCTCATACAGCGGCGTCTGATATTCCTTTTTCTTTCTTCTGTCTTTCTTCTTTGTTGAGTAGTCATGTTTCGTTTCAGCTGATTACTAAATCATTGATGGGCCACATAACTAATTCATTTTCCATGCACTGTCATAGTACACTGGTTTTCTAACAGAGGGCTGTGTCTTCTATATTACTCCATATCTTATAGCCAAAGTCTATGAAATTATTTTCCTCCTCCATTTGTAGACAGGTCTTCTCAAATTCTACAGTGTAAGGTAAATCAGTGAAATGACTAACCCTAACCCTAACCCTAACTAACACATGACTAAATAATGCCTTCCCCTAAATACAGTATTTTCTGTTAGGGTAGTGAACAAGGGGAATACGAATCCAACAGATCATCACCTTGTTTGGTAACACAGTTCCTAAAAGCTTATGTGAGCAAAGATTGAAAAAAAAACTGAATTGTGCACAAAGACAAAGGTCAAATGACTTTTCCTTTTACTTTCATCCAACTCCTCAATTTAAAGCTTGGGGCTCTCCAAATCGGCTAAATAACACAGGACAGAGAACCAGTGGAAGGTGCAGGTCTATTTTCATACTAGTTTAATGCGTCTAATGAATGCAAAATGTGTTTCCTTTTTCTGTTTCAGTCCAGTTTCTTCCTAACTTATCACTTATTTCATACTAATAGCAAAGCCTTGCCATGTGTCCATATTGATTGCAATTATGAGGCTCACAAACTCTCACTGCGACAGCTGCTTTTTAATTCATTGTTTGGCCCTAAAGCTTGTTTAAAGGGTTGGTGTTGGGGTTGAATCACAAAGATTGATAGCTGAAAAATCGGACATAAACCATCTATATGGCTAGATATACTAGATGTAATTGATATTTTTTTTCAGATGAGTCAATCCTTTTAATGTATTATTAGTTGAAACTAAAGCAGGATGAGGTATGTAATATGATTTGTTATGATATTCAAATCAATAATAACGCTCTGAGTGAGCACGGGTTAGGTAACTGTTCTAATAACATCACTGACATCACGAGAACGAACATTATGATTAGATAAAACCAAATTATGTGCCATTAGTTATCACACTGGATCGTTATCACAAGTGCATTGAATATGGCAGATTTAGAGCAAATCTTTCAGAGGTTACCTTTAACCTTAGACTGTGATAATATATGGATGACCTCAATATGACTAAATGGTTTCATCTAAATGAAACAACTTGATTCTCTAGCTGATCACTCTGCTCTCAGTTTATTTGACTGTGAATGCTCTGGAGTTTGATGATGTTCCAGGCAGAGAAAAGTACTGTCCTGGAATGCCGCGCTGGTATTATTGGGCTCACGACGGGAGAGAGATTGGAACACGATTGTGCATGCGTTTGTGTGTATGTGTACTCGCTTGTTCTTGCATGGTGTTAGGTGACAGGACAGAACAGCAGCAGCAGAACAATCGAATAAAATTCAATATAAAATTCCGCTGAGTGTCACTCAGACCTCAATTAAATAAATAAATGAGAAACAAGATTTAGATTACCAGTTAGATATAAGCAGCGTACATCACGTAACATGACGTGGTTACATTACAGTACTTTAACGAAGTTGTGTGCTAAAACACAATGTCCTCTTTATGTCAAAAAATCATAACTATACAGTGATCAGGAGATAGAACACCACAAGACAAGGACTCTGAATCCAAGCCATAATACATCTAGTGTGCAATACTATGTATCAACCGTTTTTAGGTGTGAGGTCGTAAGAAAGTGAATAAAAGAAGTGAAAAATTAGCACACACAGATTTTCCTAAAACACAATACAGATGGTCTTCTGCATTCAATACTGCCTATGATGTGTGCTCTAACCTTCGAGTCAAACCAAAACGGCTTCAAAAAGGAATACAGATGACATACAATAAATTCAGGGTGTACCAAGACTTGTATTGCAGTTGACAAAATGCATCAAACAGCCCTATTATTAAAGCACAATAGAAAAATGTCGCAGCCACATGGATGTCACAAAACAACCATAATGTTCTAAAATGTAATGTCAAGTCTTGTAGACTTGTTTGTGATTGAAAAGACCTACAGAAAGGTCAACAGTGACAAGGTTTAAAAATACAAAGAAAGTGGAGACCATTTCTCTACAGAAAATTGTGTTCCTGCGGGTCGTGGTTCTCAAAGTAATTTTTTTCTAGATGCTCAAATCTTTTTTATTACTTGTACTTTTTTCTTAAAATTCTTAGGTTTTGTCAGCTGTGCAATGAAGGCATCAGGCAGCAGTTTTTTTTGAGTTGCTATTCTGTTCTAAGTGATTTTTGTTTCTTGGAATAAGTTTTACTATAATGAATGGAACTTTTGTCAATTCTTTTACAATGTGGGATTTTACTGTTTAAATGTGAAGTGGCACAGTGATGTGTGTGTGAGTATGAGCCCATTACCCAAATAAAAGCTAGTAAGCACTACCATTAATCAGAGACCATGACACAAATTTGGTTAGAACGTTATTTAATTGGCAGGCTATTTTTGCAGAGTCTAGTTCCTGACAGGCAGCTGTCACAGTGTATGAATTACAAATACAGTGTACATTTTTTGCAAATCAAGTCTAATGTTATTTAACTCACTTAATGTGTTTCTGTTTTATCATCTTGCAGTGGAAGTGACTACAAGCCTGCAAAGAAT